ATGTAATCCTGGGTGTTTCTATGCACTGATAGTGGGGGGAGACCCATGTGCCAGGATACCCAAAAAAGCCAGGAACTTTCTAGTGCCACCCTGGGCACTGTCACAGGATAGCAAGATGTCATTAAGAAAAAACGCAAGCATCCCCCAACTAACGCCAAGTTTCTAACAGCAACTTCATAGGCCCTTAAGAAAGGGTTCCTTCCACCCTACTCTCTGCCATTCAAAGTGGCTGGTTAAGGCTAACATTATTTGGGGAAGGCACAGAACAAGAGCTATTCTGCCAGGCTGTGGTAGAGCACAAAGCAACGAAGCACGGCCTCGCTAACAGCGCTGGCACAGAGGAAACACTCAGTAAGCGGCTATTGGTTTATGTAACTCCTGACCAAATGTGTACCACTTAGTGACAGGCCAGAGATGCTGCATTACCTGTCTGCCACGGGGTCTGCTGGCTGCATGAGGTTCATAAACATCTTCAAGTCGCTGTGCATCTTACAAGTGCCTAGATCCCAAGGGTCATGGATAAAGGTGGGTGGGTTTATGTGAAGTTAGTTAAACTTAAGTCCTGGCAAGGTGTTTACATGGTCATATATTTTGATAAAAATTTGCAAAAAGAAGGCATTTTTGTACTCTTTTCCTTATGAGGGAGCCCAAAATTCTACAGCTCCAGGTTCCATAAAACCTGGATTGACCACCATGGCTTCTCAAAGGGAACTGCAAAGAGCACGGGGAAATAGGATGCTTGAGAGAGCCATGCCCTCCTTGCAGCTTGGAGCCCCCAGCACCAACACATTACGCTCTCAGTGTGTCACCAAACTGTGGTCCCCTGCCTCAGGCACTGTTGATACCCTGTCCTTCCACACCCAGCCAGCAGTGCAGAGCTCCCACCCTTGCCTGATCCCAGAAGCTGCAAGGAGTCAAGGAAGACCTTCCACAGCCCTGCAAATCACTCAGACTCCTATTCCTTGTCCCAGGGCTGGGAGTTTCTTTTCCCCACTCCCACCCCCCTCCCACATGTGCCAATTCCATTTCAGCCCCAGTCTGGGGTCCCCGACTCCATTCCCCACTCAATGATCATGCTTTCCAACTGTAAACAGCAAGGTGGCAATTTTTAAAAATGCTGATGCCTTATGCCCAACCAGTTGCTCTGCAAACATTCTGTGATTTAATTTGAAATATTTGCTTTATGTAATTTGTAGATTTTAGCTATTGGACTAAGATCATTCACAGAAATAGATTGTAATTTACTGCTGTTTCTCTGGGTTTTTTTTTATTACTGCATAAGTAAAATCCACTGTTAGCTAGCACTGTGGGGAAATGCTGGTGTTATGCGGTGTGCATTTTAATTGGCTGCACAACCACCGTCTCTTCTTCCAGCAACCCTGCGTGTCTACAGTAATGCCTGTGCACAATTCTCAGATCCCATTAGGTGCCTGTAATCCATGGCCTTGCAATAAACCTGTGGTCTGATTTTCCAATTGTCAGCCCTGCAGATGCTTTCAGAGTGAAGGGCCTCGAACAGAGGACACCCAGGCTCGGGGAAGTTGGCATGAGTGTGAGCAGGTTTGGAGGAAGCTTAGCACCGAGCATGGGTTTTTCTCCTTTGGTTGTGTTCCCTGCAGCCGTCAGGGTTGATGACTCTGGTGAGGCTGGAACATGGGCCAGCAGCTCTCCGTTTGTGCTGTTTCTCACAGGAAGAAACAGGGCAGCGGAAGGGGCGGGGCCGGAGCCATGAGAGGCTGCCTCCCCAGCTCCCTCCCTCCCTCCTGCGCCCTGGGAGATGCTGCTCCCGGTGTTCCACCGGCGCCCGGGGCTTCGTCGTGCCCTAAGTCTGAGGCAGATTCCAGACGACAGTTACAACCCAGAGATCCTTTACGTGGAACTGTGGATTCTGCCCGTGTTGTTCGGCCCAGACTGCGAACTGATGACGGCGTTCCACCGGTGGTTCGGGGTCTTACTCGTGGTGAGCGCGGTCCCAGGATACGGAGTCCTGATCTTCATTATTGGGCTGCCCTTCTACCAGCATCTTACGATGCTTCTCATCGTGGCGATGTCTTTCCAGCTTCGGATCCGCGAAAACCGAGCCAGAGCTCGGACCAGACGGCTGCTAAATTCTGCGTGGGCCTCCGGACGCTCGGTTTAAGGCTGGGACCAGTCCTGAACCCCTTATCCTTATCCAGAAGTCGGCTCGTGGCGGACCTCACCACAAGGACGGCGTTGCTGGGGGATGGAGGCCAGGAGGCTAAGGCGCTGTGAAAGATGCAGATGATGATGGGTGTGGAGACCACCATCCTTAATTCTGTCACCTTCAAGGTATTGCAAGCTCGAGCTTTTAAGGAAAGTTTCAGTGGTTTTATAATAAATGATCTTTATTGGTTAAAATAAAAAAGAAACAGGGCACACAAGTGGCAACAGAATGAACAGGGGCTTCAGAGTCTTAATAGGATAATTTCCATCCCATTCTGCAGGTTCTTTTTTTTTTAATTGAAGTATAGTTGCCTTACAATATTTTTTTCTCATTATATTTGTTACTTTTTTTGAAGTAAAGTTGATTTACAATGTTGTGTTAGTTTCTGGGGTACAGTATAGTGACTCAGTTATACATATATTTTTTCATATTATTTTTCATTATATGTTATTATAAGATATTGAATATAGTTCCCTGTGCTCTACAGTAGGACCTTGTGTTTACCTATTTTATATATTGTAGTTTGTATCTGCTAATCCGCAACTCCTAATTTATCTCTGCCTCTCTCCTTTTCCCCTTTGGTAACCATAAGTTTGTTTTCTATGTCTGTGAGTCTGTTTCTGTTTTGTATATAGATGCATTTGTAATATTTTTAGATTCCATATACAAGTGATATCATATGATACTTGTCTTAATTAGCTGTCTGACAATTTCCTAAGTACAATATTCTCTCGGTTCATTCATGTTGCTGCAAAATGGCAATATTTCACTCTTTTCTATGGCTGAGTAATATTCCATTGTGTGTGTATGTATGTGTGTGTATATCATATTTATATATAGATTCTTTTAGTCAACAAACACATACATACTCCGTGCCAGCCACTGTGCTTGGCACTGGGGCTATCGCAATGCATAATACACAGTCTTTGTTCTTAGTAAGTTCACATTCTAGTAAGGGAAGGAAAACATTCACATAAATAACTACATTGCATCACCACAGATTTTGCTAGAGACATGAGGAACTACTTAATGTAATGGAAAGAACATGGTCTTTGGAATCACAGAGACTAGGGTTCAAATGCCACTTTTGCAGTATGTTCAGCTCTACCACCTTTGGAAAAGCTACTTCATCAAAGAACTGTGATTTCCTTACAGCAACAGAACCCTACCCTGCAGAGTGCTGAGAAGTCCCACAGCTGCAAGGAGGGGGAAGCGGGGTAGCTGCTGAAAGCATCCTTCTCCCCGGTGCTCTTTCCAGCTCCAATCCCCCTTACAGGAGGTTCCGTGGGGGATGCAGTGATGACGATTAGAAATGGCAGATGTCAAGTAGCTCGTACAGTCATAGGCATTTGAGAAATGGTAGTTCTCACTTATGACAACTATTAGGGAAACACCATTTCTCGTGTCCCTGGGCTGTTTCAATAATCACCGAACTCCAGTCTCTCCTCCCCCTGTGCCTCCTTAGCGCATCCCAGGAGAGCTCCTTCTGCAAAGCAAAGCTTATCTGTTAAGGATCTGCTTTAAATGCTTAGCAGCTCCACCTCTCTGGGAGAAACTTCATCTTCTTGGTAGAGTCGAGGGCACCGCAGTGTCTCCTGCCTTCCTCCAGCTCACTGCCGGGAACACCTCCCACCGTCTCCCTCCGCTCCATGCAGAGCCACTTCCCTGCCATGTCCCTTCCCCCTGCCTTCTCATTTGGGACCTTCTGTTCCCATGGTTGTCTTTCCAGTCCAACCACATCTGCTTGTTCACATGCCTTCGAGACGCCACACGCCATCCACCATCCTGTTCTCCACAGCGACTAACAGAATCCAACACCACCAGCAAGCCCCCGCAACTTCTCCCTCCACTTTCTTATTTGCTCCTCTCTAACCCTTTCTCCAAACTGCAGCGAGGCTGGGCGTTACACATCAATCCCACCAGGCCACGCGCTTCCTCAAAACCTTCAGTGGCTCCCCCGCCATCACACTCGGGGGAAATCCATCTCCCGACCGTGGCCTGCAAGGCTCTGCCTGATCTGACTCCCCACGCTGTCCCACTTGCTCGCTGTGCTCCAGCCACCCTGGCCAGTCTGCAGTTCCTCCAGCCCGAGCCCTTTCTCCCCCTCCTGAATGTCGGCCTCCACGTCGAGAATACGAGCCGTGTCATTTGCCGGCGCTACCGCCCACACAGTCTTCCCGGCTCAGCTCCGGGGCCACGCCCTCCGGAAGCCCTTGCCTGCCTCCCGGGACAGAATCGTGGCTCTGATTCTCTCTCATCAGACCCTGCTCTTTTCTTGCATGATATGAGTTATAATCTGTAATTTCTTAATAACCTTCTTCCCCTCTAGACTGCAGCTTCCACGAGGATGGGACCTGAGCTCGGACCGAAGCCCAGCGCCCCGCCCACGCGTCTGTGGGCAGCCGTCTCGGGGAAGGCTTCCCGCGGCCCCTGCTCTCCGCCCTCCCCCGCGCCTCCGGGAGGGCCGCGGCCTGCGCCCGCACGCGTCTCTGTTATACACTGCTCTGAAGTACTCTCTTTCTGTGGAAATTTCTCCCCACAGGAATGTGAGCTTCCCAACACCAGGGCTATTCTGTGTGTCCCCCGCAGAGCAAAGCATCCTCCCCCCACTACCAGATCTAGAGTCAAGATTAACCTTCGAAACCTGCAGACAAAAATGTAAAAGCCCTGCTTTCAGATAACATTGTGACCAAATGCAAACAAACAAACAAAAATCACTTTAAATTTACTGAATATACTGAAAATGCTTGCGTTCGTTAAGGAGTCAAATTGAGTACGTAAGTGGAGTAGTGCTGACACTAAATGGCCACCCTACCTTACTCCTGAGAGGGCTTCAGCTTGTTTTTTCTCCTGGTCCTGAAGCCTCCAACACCCTGAGGGACAGAAGACCTTGTTCAGGAACCTAGAAGAGAAGGATGAAAAATGTTAGGAGAAGGGTAAGGACAGGAGGCTAGGAAGGGCAAGAAGAGGCAGCACACTGAGGAGCAAAGAGCTTGATCTCTGACATCAGACCGTCAAACTGTGTGGATTCCCCCTCCCTTCCCCTCAACTCCACCCCCACCGCGGATCTGGCCTTGGGCAGGACCCTTGACCTCTTTAGACCTATGCTTCCTCGGCTGAAAAGTGAAGATACAGTTGCCTTGGCAGGTTGTCCTGAGAATTAGATGATGTAAAGTGAGTCTGGTATGGATGTGAAAGCACCTAGCAGTTGTCAGGCACAGCCTCCATTCATTTGTACTTGCTCATCCAAGTATTTATTCAGCTCCTGCTGTGTGCCGAAAACTGCTGAGGCTACCAGGAGAGCACAAACTAACATATTTGCACACTCACAGAGCGTACAGTCTCTTCAGGGATACAAACATTCAAATAATCAAAGGTAAACATGCACCTGTAGTTGGTGCTATAGAGGAGGTGACACTGTGAGCTCCTGTTACAAAGGAGAGGAGTCCGTGGCCCAGTGCAGACCCTGCAGGCAGCTGGCTTCGCTTTAATTTCTAGCATTGCCACTTACTAGATAGATGACTTTGGGCAAGTCAGTGTACTTACTGCCTTATGTTTCTGTTTATTCATCTGTTAGAGAGAGGTAATAGTAGTATCTATCACATAGGGCTGTTATGAAGATTAAATAAGTTAACAGAGAAGAGACTGAAGACATGGAAGCAACCTAAATGTCCACTGACAGATGACTAGATAAAGAAGATATTATATATATAATGGAATACTACTCAGCCATAAAAAAGAATGAAACCATGCCATCTGCAGCAACATGGATGGACCGAGAGATTATCATACTAAGTAAAGTAAGTCAAAGATAAATATCATATATCACTTATATGTGGAATCTAAAAATAAATGATACAAAGGAACTGATTTATAAAATAGAAACAGTCTCACAGACACAGAAAACAAACTATGGTTACCAAAATGGGAAAGGGAGGCAGATAAATTAGGAGTTTGGAATTAACAGATACACACTACTATATATAAAGTAAACAAGGATCTACAGTATAGCACAGAGAACTACATTCAGTATCTTGTAATAACCTATAATGGGGAAGAATCTAAAAAAGAATGTGTAATATATATACACATACATATAACTGAATCACTATGCTGTACACCTGAAACTAACACAGCATTGTAAATCAATGATACTTCAATAAAAAATTTTAAAAATAAAAACAGAAAGAGGGCTGGTGGTTGATAACTACTGTATAAGGATTTGCTATTTCATTATTATTACTTTGCCTAATTGGAGTGGTAAAGAAGGATTCCTAAGAAGTAACATTTGAACTGAGATCTTCAAGGATGAGTAGTAGTCACTAGGTGACAGGAGGGAGGGAAAAGCCTAAGCAAAGGTCCACCGGTGGAAAGGATAGTAGCAAATCCAAGGACGTGAATGTGCTACTAGGGCTGCAGTTGAGAAATGAAGTCAGACCCGGCAGGACTTTGGAAGTCACGGCAAGACTTTCATCTTCATCCTACGGGCAATGGGAGTCTTTGAGTTTTGTGAGCAGGAAGAACATCACTGTAACTTCAGAGCAGAGAAGAGGCTAATGAAGGGACAGAGTGAATGCAGGAACAGCAGCTGGAAGTTTACTGTAGAGCTCTGGAAGAAGTGAGGATGACATGGACAAGAGATGAGACAGATGAGACATGGAATGGATTTAAGAGGTGTTTTGGAGATAAAATTGACAAGACTTTGCTGATGGGGCAAGAGGTAGAGGGAAAAGAAGCAGAGAGAGATGGCCAGCATGGCTCCCAGTTATCTGGCTTGCAAAACTGGATGGACGGCAGAGCTCTGCACTGGAGCTGAAGATGGAGAACCATGAAGCAGATCCTTACGGAGGGGCATGGAATGCAACTGAGGTCAGGGTGCCATCTAAATAACAAAGTATGTGAGTGATCAGAGGTGCTCTTCCCCTGGAGAAGTCCCTTGACCTGTATATCTTATATTCCATTAATAGTCCTGCAGACAGGCAGAACAACTGATCATCCGAAGGTCATTTACATTTGGCCATGGGATGCAGTGATGTGTCGACTATATACACTTAACATGCTCTTTCTAGCCCAGACAGTCCTCCACCTCAGGCCCCTCTCAGCAGCCAGAGACCAGCAAAAGGAGAAAGAATAAGGTTCTGACTCAGTGGTCCACTGAAGCAAAGAGATGACTGTATCTTCACAAGTCACCAGGATAAAACCATGTTCTCCTCAGTGTGTGAAAAACCCAGGTAAGTTGTCATGGGAACATCATTATTATTTCTAGCTGCCCTGTGTGAGCACTTACAGTGTGCCTGGTGCTTCATCCACCCTGTCTAGCACCTTCATACTGTCTGCCACCTATCATGACAGGAAAAAAGATTCAAAGAGAGTGACTTACCGAGGCTATACAGCCAGTGGGTGACAGAGCAGGTATCTGGACCCAAGTCTGCATGACTCTGAGGCCAATCTTCTTTTTTTAACCTTAGTGAATTTCTTTAACTGAGCAACACTTTAGCATTGACTCCTATATGCAAAGTAGGCATTTCCAGGTGGTTAAACACAGGTAAGGTGAAGCCCTTGGCCACACAATAGAACAAAGCTAACTGGCCTCTGCAGAGATCAAAACCACGACCTTGTCCTTATTTGATCGTTCTGCCAATGGAGCGCTCAAGGCAAACTTGCCATCAAATGGCTATCAAGCGTTTTATTTCCCTACGTTTTGCTTAGGTTGCTCCTTTATTCAAAGAGCTCAGCCTTTCAAAATAAGCCACTTCGTGGAAGAGAAAGAAGCGATGAGTCTACAAATTATCAAATGGAAAGGCTTTTAACAGGATTTGCCAAGGACTTAAAAGGTAGGCAGTAGGGGGCTGGAAACCTACCTTTGGAGATGAGCAGAACAAGCTCCCAGATCCTGGCCCTCAGGAATGGGTGCCCTTTACTGGCCTTGCCACGTGCTCACACTGCCACCTGCTGGACATGACGCACATCTCTGTCTCCTATAAAGGTCCCCCTGGAGATTGCTCACAACCTGTCCTGCAGATTGCTCACACTTGATCTCGCCTCCTTTTCCCAACTTAAGTTTTCCTACTCAAGAGGAATTTTGATTTTCTGACCCCAAACTCTTCTCAGCCTGATACCAAGGAAAGGCAGGTAGGAATCCATGCATGTGCTGGCATTGGTGGAGAGAAGCCAAGAGTACAGAGACCACCTTGTGAGGGATGCAGGGCAGGGGAGGCCGGGGGTGGGCGGGGTGGGTGGGGGACACTGCTTGCGATAGCATCTGGGAGAGCCCGCTGCACCTGTGAATCCAGTCATCTAATTTTCAGAACCTCAAGGCTCTTTCGCCATAACTTTAATGACAAAACCTCCCCAAATCCCTTTTAAATACAGCGAGATACATCCTTCCCTGCATATTTCTTTTCCTTTAAGCACAGCTTGCGTAGCTAAGGGCAGGGTGGGCTTCCAGCTTCAGAACACAGGGCTATTATTTCATGGGGCCACAGGCGGCCGTCTTTCTTTTTAAAAGAAGTTCAATCTTCTTTCATTCACTCACAGCATGAAAATAAATTACTGTGCTTGAGCATTTTAAAAATTAAAGGCTTAGATGGCACACAACTGATCTTCAAGTAGTTGAAATGGTTTCCATCAGCTACTACATTTTTTAAGTTGTCTTTTTCATTTTTCTTTGATTTACTTCATGTGGCATTATGTAGGTGCAGTGGACTGAAATGCATCTCATATTCCAAATCAGCTAGGATGCTAAACTCCATTCCTTTTGGATACATTTGGAATAGAAAGATGGAGTGGAACATACTGGAGGTAAAAGTCAGGGACCTAGCTAAGTGACTCGTCCTTCATATGTTTCAGGTTCAACAACTCAAATAAATTAGAGTCATTCTCTGAATTTGCTTTCCAAAGTTCCAGACTTCCAGAACGTCTTGGCAATAAAAGAGGACCTAGAATTTCTCAGCCAGTTTTCACACTTTTTACATCGTTCATTGAACCTGACTACTGTCTTCTGATTTAACACACTGAACTGAAACCACACAGCCAGGTGTTATGACTCTCAAGTTTGTGTCTTCAGTTTCTAACACTCACCTGAGGTCTAGGCCCATCTCTCTAACTACCCGCTAAATATTTCACTCTGGGTGTCCCACATCCAGCTTAAGGCAACTTAAGCTCATTGTGTCTAATCTCAGTCCTGGTCACCTCGGCCCCATCTCCTAAACCTGCTCTTCCTTCCTGCAATCATGCCATTTAATGGCAAAACTATCCACTTAATTACATAAACCCAAACCCCAAGCGTCGCATGATACCCCATCCTTTATGTATGATTGATCATGAAGTCCTACTATGTCTACTACCTAATAAAGCTGTTCCTTCTCTTCTCTCCAGCTATACTGACACTGCCTTTTCCCTGGAACTGTTGAAACAGCCTTCAACTATCTACCTTTCCCCATGTTTAATGTTCTCCTTTTTATCCTTCACATTCAAAAATACAGAACTGATCACATCCTTGACACCACAATCACAGTATATAAAAGGAAAGATTAATAAATTGGACTCATCAAAATGTAAAACTTTTGTTCTGGAAAAGATCCTGTTAAGAGGGTGAAAAGACAAACTATGGACGGGAAGAAAGTATTCACAATCACGTGTCCAACAAAGGACTTGCAGGGTTTCATCTAGAATACATAAAGAACTCTCAAAACTTAACATTAAAAAAGCCAACCAATTCAACTCAAAAATAATCAAAAGACATGCACAAACATTGCATGGAAGAGTAAATACAGATGGCAAATAAGCACATGAAAAGGTGTACAATGTCATAAGTCATTGGAAAAATGCAAACTAAGACTATAATATGATGTAACCACACCTACCAGAATTGCTAAAATTAAAAAAAAAAAGTGATAACAC